CCATTATATCACTGTTCAAAAATCAATTCGTCCCTAAAAAATCACCACCAAACAAGCACTAAATAAATAAACAAGAAAACCAAAAAAAATTAAGAAAAAATAAAAAACCAATTTATTATTATTTTTTTTTTTTTGAAAAAAGTTTTATCTCCTTCAAACCCCTACCCCATCCCCACCGTTGGCACCAACTCCGTCGGGAAAGCACTACCTTTGAATAACCGCACCACCAACTCCTCCATCCAAAACTTCCACCGCCGTCTTTCCTTCTAGTCCAGTCAAAATCTAGGCCATCCGAAACTTCTAATTCCAGTCAAAATCCATTTCCACTGGTAAATTCTTTTCCTTTTCTATGTTTCTCAAGAACAGAGGTGGTCAAGATCTGGCGCTGGATGAATTGAACCAGAATTTTCCCTAATCCGTTGCAGCTCTGCCTCAAGCTGCCCCGTCTGTTGCTGCATTATCAGAAATTTATCCATCTGATTCTATTAAATTGAACACCCCAACAAAATCCATCATCATTAGTCAACGAAAAGTGGATTAAACAAAATAAAACAGCAGACATCATTAGAAATGGTTCAACACCTTGGAAGATTTCTTATCATCAAATATAAGGGCGTTTGAATCAATTTGAGAGACTAAAGCATCATTCCTTCTACAAAGCTTTTATGCAAAAAGGGTTCTAGAAAAGACCGATGAATAATGGTTCTTCTGTCCAACATCAGTTGACTCGGATCTACATACTCCATTAATTAACAAAAATAGAAAAAAATTATGCGTGAAAGGTGAAATCCCATCAAAGAAAACGAAACCCATATAGCAAACAAACAAAGTCCGATAAAATCTCTGGCAACGGCACAGAATATGCCGTGAAAAAATATTGATGGTCCAAAAAATATAGAGAAAAATGAGGTACGAGAAACAGTGTCTTTCTTGGATTTTAAAGTCATCATTTTAACCTTTGAATTTTAATTTGGGTGGAGTCTCAATTGGATTTTTGGGGAAGGAGATGAAGTGAGGTGGAAAATAAAGTTTTAAANCCGTTGGCACCAACTCCGTCGGGAAAGCACCACCTTTGAATAACCGCACCACCAGCTCCTCCATCCAAAACTTCCACCGCCGTCTTTTCCTTCTAGTCTAGTCAAAATCTAGGCCATCCGAAACTTCTAATTCCAGTCAAAATCCATTTCCACTGATAAATTCTTTTCCTTTTCTATGTTTCTCAAGAACAGAGGTGGTCAAGATCTGGCGCTGGATGAATTGAACCAGAATTTTCCCTAATCCGTTGCAGCTCTGCCTCAAGCTGCCCTATCTGTTGCTGCATTATCAGAAATTTATCCTTCTGATTCTACATTAAATTGAAAACCCCAACAAAATCCATCATCATTAGTCAACGAAAAGTGGATTAAACAAAATAAAACAACAGACATCATTAGAAATGGTTCAACACCTTGGAAGATTTCTTATCATCAAATTTAAGGGCGTTTGAATCAATTTGAGACTAAAGCATCATTCCTTCTACAAAGCTTTTATGCAAAAAGGGTTCTAGAAAAGACCGATGAATAATAATGGCTCTTCTGTCCAACATCAGTTGACTCGGATCTACATACTCCATTAATTAACAAAAATAGAAAAAAATTATGCGTGAAAGGTGAAATTCCATCAAAGAAAACAAAACCCATATAGCAAACAAACGAAGTCCGATAAAATCTCTGGCAACGGCACAGAATATGCTGTGAAAAAATATTGATGGTCCAAAAAATATAGAGAAAAATGAGGTACGAGAAACAGTGTCTTTCTTGGATTTTAAAGTCATCATTTTAGCCTTTGAATTTTAATTTGGGTGGAGTCTCAATTGGATTTTTGGGGAAGAAGATGAAGTGGGGTGGAAAATAAAGTTTTAA